GGTCTTCCTTATTCACTGCCTATACACGTACATATATAACCATACACTCATTTTTTCAAAAAATTACTCTTAGTTGTTACGAGCATTTCTCATCTAATTCTGAATGCACAAATGGAAGAATGTCTCTGGGTTTCGTGTCTAGAAAGGAAAAACAACATTCAGACTTTACAACTGTGTTGTAAATTGTTTTCCCAAATGGTTATATTCTGCTTTCTAAATGTAATATCATACTACAACAAAAAACCCACTGCCATTGAGTCGATTGTGACTCATAGCAACTCTATACACAGTTTCTGAGGCTGTAAATCTTTATGAGAACAGATAGCCTTATCTTTCTTCCATGAAGTAGTTTGTGGGTTTGAACCACCAACTTTGTGGTTAGCATCTCAATGCTTAACCCACAGCACCACCAGAGCTCTTTCATCACACTGCAAGCACTTCCTTAAGTCATTACAAATTCTTCAAGACCATAATTTCTAATGAATACATGATAAATAGTGTTATCATTTATCTGTTTTTTTCTTCTTTTTATTATAAATAATTCTGTGTTGTTGTTAAGTGCTGTCGAGTCTGTACCAACTCACAGCAACTCTGTATAGCATTTCCAGGAAGTGGCTCGTGGGTTTGAACCACAGACCTTGCAGTTATTGGCCCAGTGCTTATCCTACAGCTCCATACCAGGGCTCCTGTAAGAAATATTTTATACACAAAGTTTTGTCTATACGTCTTACTCTTTCCTTGAGACAAGCTTCTAGAAATAGTTCAAATGGCATAGATATTTTACACTCCATTCCTGAGTTGCTGTGACCTTTACGTAAATCAACTGGCCAACTGATTCATATAAAGGTCACACCAACTCAGGAATGGAGTGTTACATGAGCCAACAATGTACTCAATCTCATCTCCTTCCTTGCCAGCTCTACCAAACCATGTAACTTACACCATGTACCTTTTGATACAATTGAGCATAACTTTTTTCCTTTTAAAAAAAACTGTCTTAATTTAACAGATGATAAAAAGTGTGTTTCATGCATGTGTTCCTTTCCAGTTTTATTATTAGGGAGAATTAACTCATCGTTATCAGTTTACCTTGCATTTAGAGTAACTTTCTAAAACCAAAGAAAATCAAATCGTTTAAAGATTTGTCTCATTGCTTGTGGTTTTGATTTTTATATCTAATTTGAAGTATGAGATAAAACGAAAATGTGAATTTTTTTTTTTTCTACAGAATTTTCCAAGTCCTTTTATACCAAGGTGATACCTGGAGCAGAGACCAGGTTTTGAGTTGACTGTCAACTTTCTTTCATAGTCCTGGGCCTGAGACCTGGGTAGGCAAGGCCAGCTCTGCGGCCTAAGCAAAGCGTCAGTGTTGGTGCATCTCATCTGAGGAGAGAGCACTGCCTTCCTGGAAGTTGGAGGAGTTGTCCACAGAACGCAGCACTTCTGCCATTACCCTGACTGCAGTCATGATCTTCAATGGGGAAAGGCCTCTTACTGTCATGATGCTGGGTGACAATGTTCTGGGTATTTTTATTGTTGCAGGCTTCATTATCACTGCAATGATCCTTCTCTAGATGACCCTATCCCTCAGGAGTATGCCCTCTTCCTCTGTCCCACGGGGTCCCTGCTGGAAAAGCTACAGGAGTTCTGGAATGAGAGCAAACGTCAGTGTACCAAGAACAGAGCTCATGAGATCTTTCCTCACATAACACTTTGTGACTTCTTCACGGTGAGTCAGCCTTACTGCTCACTAAAACAGCAGCTGATGTCATTTTCCTGAGATAACAGTAGATAACGATAGGACAGAATGAAGGAACCACCACATGGTTTATCTTCATGGGATGGCCCATACTGTGGCATTGGGTGACCTCTTTGAGTGTCCTTTCCTTTCCTCCTGTCTTTCATCTGCGTAAATCCAGTTCATCCTTCAAGACCCAACTCATCTATTCCCTTCCTTTATAACTCTTCCCCTGCCCTCCAGGCAGAAAGAGTTGCTGCCTTTTGTTCACCTTTTAGTTCCCTGACTTCCACGAGGGAAGGAAATGCTTTACTAATCATTGTATTCTGAGATTAGTGCTGTGCCTAAAACTGTAAGTGCTTCATCTATGCTTCTTGAATTAAGAGTACAAAGAGTAGCTATTGGCCAGACTCAAATGCAAAACTTTTTACATACCTGAGGACCAGCTCTCTGACTACCTCAGGGCCAAGAGGACAGCTTTATCAAAGTCATTACAAATTCTTCATTTGTAGACTGCTTAGAAGAGGAGATATGTGTGGAGGAGAGGCAAAAGGGAGGCAGAGAGCCATTTCCCCTGTGGCCCTCACCTGAGGAATCTCCCATTACATCATGGGCAGGCTCTGCCTCTGCTGCCTGAAACACTGACTTCTTCCACCTACTTCTAGGGGTTCCATCTGGACCTCAAGTGTCTACAATACTTAATGGAAAAAGGCGGGCCAATCTCTGCAGGGGTTGGTTCTCCAGGGTACCCTGGGGAAGAGCGCCTTCCTGCAACCCAAGACACTGCATGACCCTGCTCCAGTTTGTCTGGGCCTGGGGGCTCCAGAGATACCAGCCTTTCAGAGCTAAAACTAGGGAAGCCTCAGGAGAACCAGATGAGTTGTCACCCTGGTTTGATATTCCAGGGTGTTCTGATAGTCAAGCTCCTTTCTGGTTTACCCTCAGGAGCTCCTTGCAGAATGCAAAGACAGCCAAAGCTAGGAGGTGAAGTGTAAGCTTACAAATCAGACACATTCAGTCATGGCAGAGAGAGAGCAGATGTTCTCCTCCCAGCTCCTCCGTGACCCGTGGTGTACAGTCACACAGACACAGAAGCACATGCAGACATGTGTAAGCACACAGAGACCTGTATACACAGTGTGTATACACATAACAAATACACAGACACATGCATACATACCCAGATACACAGAAATGTAACACAAACACACACGCACAAATACACACACAAATATGGTTCTTCACCTCCCTTCTCTTGTAACCACACGCCCACCTTAGTTAGCTGAGGGCCCCTTTCTGGGAAGAGTGTAATAGAGATTCACTTTATGTCTCACTGTGAAATGAAAAGGTCAATTACACCTCGGTTTGAAATATGACTTTGTGCTTGCAAAAGACATATTGTTGTTAAATGCTGTCCACTCATTTAAGATTCATAGTGATCTGTATAGGGTTTCTGAGATGTGGCTGTTGGGTTTGAACTGTCAACCTTGAGATTAACAGTCCAGTGCTTATCCTACAGCATCACACTATTGTTGTTGTTAATGTGGCATCGAGTCAGTATGACCCATAGAGACCCTGTATAGGGTTTCTGAGGAGTGGCTGGTAAACTTGAACCACCCACCTTGCGGATCAAACCGGCTTTGCAGCCCAGTACATTAGCCCTCAGCACCACACTAGGACTCCACAGCATCGCACTAGAAACCAGAATTACAATGTTAATGGATTCATGATAGAGAGTCACTCACCCGGCTGTGTGTTGCACCAGCTATGCAAATGCATTCTCCTAGGTACCCTGGGATAAAAAGATAAGCCAGGCCGGATGAATGTAGTGAGCATCAGTCTAGAGGAGAGACAAAGTTGATTATTCAAATAGCGTAGTGGTTACGACTTGGGCTGTGAACCGCAAGGTCAGCAGTTCGAAACTACCAGCTGCTCCGTGGGAGAAAGATGAGGCTTTCTACTCCCGTAAAGAT